ACACACACACACACACACACACACACAAATCCACATTTATTAGTCCCACCCGTAAAACCAGCCGGGAGCATGGGGTACTTTGTCGCTTTGTCGCCCCGCACCCCCGCCCGTTTGCCGACCATCTCTGTCGGTCTGTCGCTCTGCTGCCTTCATTCGCCGAGAGGCGACAGGCGCGACACTCCGTCTCGTCAACAGCCAATAGGAGGTTGAGCCTGCGCGTCAATCGACAGCGTCCTGCGAGAAATCTGATGCGTGACAAACGTGAGTGGGCGGAGCTTAGAAAGTCGATCGACGAGCCCATTCCGGTGTCGAAGGCACGGACAATATTTTCGTCAGCCTTTGCGCCAGTTTATATTCAGTGTTTTTAATGTTTCCAAACCATTGTAGTGCATCGACGTTTCCATCCACATTGTTTTTAGCAATCTGGCATCCTGTCATCGGTTTCAGTTTGGTAACAATACATTCAAGTGGCCAGTGTTTCGTGGAAGCTGCTACTGCGGCGCTTGTATTTTGTTCGTTGTTATCAGTGTCTATTATGCACGGTAAGGAGTAAAATTCCGAGTGTTTTGTGTTGTCAATATGTGCACGCCAACACAAGGCGCCATGCTACCTTATGGCCTGAAGCTTCCTTCTACGTATTTCCCTTTTGGGCCTGGCGGGGGACTCACACAAGCCCACTTATCAGCTCTGGATTTCCAACGATCGCAGATTAACGATTATAACATCAGAGTCCAGCTCGGATTGCGGAACTACCAAAATTCCTTAGGTCTGTCTCCGTTCCACGCATATATCACCGACCCTTATGCCCAAGCGTACTTCTACAAGCACGACCCTCGCGCCAGATTTGTGCAAGAAGAACCCAAACCTAGTCACAGCTATATCGGCCTGATCGGTATGGCTATTCTCAACGCCAAAGAAAAGAAACTAGTCTTGAGTGATATCTATCAGTGGATTCTCGACAACTACCCGTATTTCCGAACCCGCGGGCCTGGGTGGAGGAATAGCATCCGACACAATTTATCATTGAACGACTGTTTTATTAAAGCGGGTCGAAGCGCCAACGGGAAGGGTCACTACTGGGCCGTCCACCCGGCAAACGTGGAAGATTTTGAACGAGGAGACTTCCGACGTAGACGAGCTCAGAGGAAAGTCCGGCGTCATATGGGCCTGTCGGTGCCTGACGACGACGATAGTCCGACACCGTCACCGTCACAGCCGTGGGCCCAACACGATTCTGGTCCTGACTCGGACAGGGGTCATTCCGAGCCTTCGGTGACTCCTGGGTCGCACGGGCTGAGATTGGGGCTCCCGGGGAAAGAAGCCGACCTCCCCCTCCTCCCACACTCCAGCCCCATGTACGCCCCTGCCCCTCCCCAAACCAGAAAACCCAGCAGAAAACGCCTTTTTGATATGGCGAGTCTTCTGGCTCCTGACGATGACGACGATGTTCCTGACCCCGGAAAGCGACATGCTAGGTCAGAAAATGACGACAACAACGTCCACTCGGCGTTCATATTTCAACCAATTCCTGAGAACAGAGTCGGAGAAAACGTCAAGAGAGAGTTCAACTCTCTGCGCGACCCAGTAGCATATGATCCTACTAAATCCTGTCCTAGTCAACACGTGTTTAGCAGGGAGGGTACCCGGGAGTTTGACTTTCAAGGGAAAGAGACTTTCTCTGACAGCGAAAATGAAAATCGTGACGCCGACGAGGAGGACGATAACGAAGAAATACAAGTGACGTCAGGAGAGGAATCTCCTTTGACACATCTAGAAGATTCTCGAGCTGAGGAGAAGACATTTACAGCCCACGAGGAGGACACGAAGCCTCACTTATCCGAGAGACATAATGTAGATACAACGGGGTCTTCAGCCTCTTCCTCTTCCTCCCACAGCATAGAGCGACGACTTATCAGCCAGGGATCACCAAATAAGTCAGTTCCAGAAAATGCAATGGACTTAACTTCCGGTTTTTCACCTACGGTGTCACCCTCGTCATCTTCCCCCACAGGAGTACATTATGGATTGGGTCCTTCAAAGACCAGGGTCAAGAGAGAAGATCTAAGGTCTTATGGTCAGATGACCACAAACGATGACCGCACACCAAGAACCTCAAAGACCAATGGCGAGGCATCCATTAACAAGGAGATTAGCTTTGCTTCTGGTCAGGGAACTTCAAAATTGCTAAATGAACAATCAGAAACCTACTCCCAAAGCGGTTTGGAAAATATGGCTGGTGATAGGAGTCCTGAGGGACCACGTGACTCTGGCCAGAGGTCCCCGAGACGGACACCACATGAAGGCAATCATTCTGAAAATCCCGAGTCCGTCACATCGCGTGGTAGTGAACTGGAAGCCACCCCGGGCAGTTCTCACAACATACGACACGATAATCTTGCACAACTGCAACTACTCAGGAACGCAGACATGAAACTCGGTTTCGAACGTGGACGTCCGACAGAGCTGGGCCCGAGACTTTACAACGGGGAGACGCAGCCCAGATCTTCTGCCGGAGACGACCCCAGCAAACTGGCCGCCATGGGTATGGTCAGCGGGATGTGCCCGATGTCCGAGGCCCTGCGACGCTCGAGCGAGGGGGTCACCTCGTGGTCAAACATTTCCAAAAGTCCTTCTCCCAGAGACAGACTCAGCGCCTTCAGCAGCCTGGGCCTGAGACAACACACAGCTCTCTACCCGCCACAGTTCCAGCATAACATCATGCGGGCCTTCCCGGTCCCACCAGCTGGACAGCGGCTACTCCTGCCAGTCTCAGGACAGGCCGGACCCCGAGGATCTATCCCGCCCAGCCCTATGCCTCGCGGACCTACTTCTTTTGACCCGCCTTCCTGCCCACAGGTGGTCAAGGACCAGAAGCATGAGTGAGGGCTTGACCCGTGGTCATCAAGATGTCCCAGCAATACAGAACTGCCACAAAAGGTAAAATAATAATATTATACTTGCAACGTACGTACAAAAGAAATAGGTTTCCGTAACTTTCGTCATGTGTAAGCTGACACATAATGCATTGTAAGTGAGTGTATGTGTTTGCGCTTGCATGTGTATGTGTGTGTTTTTGTGTTTGTAAGTGTGTGTATGTGTGTGAGTGTGTGTATGTTGGGGTGTGTGTGTGTGTGTGTGTGGGGGGGGGGGGTTGTTTGTTTGTTTGTTTGTTTGTTTGTTTGTTTGTCTCTAAAGCAACATTTTTTTCTCTCTGAAGTAACACTTTCTTCTCTCTGAATATAAGTGGGTCTCTTTCATTTTCAAGTTGTTGTTTTGACTTATCGGGTTCTTAAGTTGTTCCTTTTTGTTGTTGTTGTTTGTTTGTTTGTTTGTTTGTTGTTTGTTGTTTTGTTGTTGTTTTTTAATGGGGGGGGTAATCCTTTCGTAATAAGAAGCGTGCGCGTAAAACATGTCCGAACGATAAAAATTAGAATTTCAGCGGTTCTGACAACGCTCTATCTACAGACAGCACAAGTATAGATTGCGTGTATCCAAACTAAACACAGGTCCAGTGATGTATCTTAAACGTGTTTAGCACTAAGATAATAAATCTTATCATGTTTGCTAACCGCCTCCATGTCGTCCTTTTGTATGCCTGGTCATTGGGGTCAACCACTGAGTTAGCTACTGGTTCTACATATTTCAAGTTTGCTGAAAAGAGACCAAAACAAGGTTATATCACCGCCGCCACCACCACAAACAACAACAACAACAACAACAACAACAACAACAACAACAACAACAACAACAACATTTTTTTTTAAACATAGAGAGGCGTGCTGACAAAATGAGTTACTTCTCGCATTCCACAAAGGGAGATATTGGCCAAAAATCGACACAGGATCAAATTAGTAGATTTTCTATTGATGCTGTATTATTTAAGCATAACATGCTTTTTAAATATTTCACACTTATAAATTGTAAAAACTTCACCCATAACCATAGGGTTCGAATCTGAGAAGCAACTCGTTTTGTCAGCACGTTTCACGTTCCTTGGTCACCGGGTTATTTCACCTGCTCTGTCTTGTTTCTCTTGCCATGTCCAACCTGAACTCTTTGAACCTATTTTCAATGCAATGTAAAGTATAACTATATTTTTGCGATTATTTTTTTTTTCCAGGGGAGGGGGTTGATGTAGAAGAGGTGACGATTTCGTCTAATTTTCTGTGCTAGTGTCGATGACTCTCTGTCACCTAGTTACGTGTTTTGGCGTTGTTCGGAGATATGTTGAGACGGTGGACACCTATGGTTTATGTTTCACACGTTTCCCGCTCAACATCTTGGGTTGCTAAACAGAGGAATTTCTGACTATCTCTCCTCTCTGGTATGGTTCAAACCAATAAAAAATGAGCGTCAAAGTCATTTTTGGAACAAACAGTTAAGCGGAGTCTGAGGTGGGGCTCTCGTGGTTCAGAGCTTATGGTGTTCGCCTCTCATTCAGTAGATCCCGTGTTCGAATCCTGAGAGCGACGGATTTTTTTTTCTCGTCTAAAACAAACATTTTCTACTTTAACATTTCCTGCTCTCTAATCATATTCTGTCGTCTTTACTTTCTTCTCTGAGCTCCTCACTCTTTCTGCTACCTTTCTACTGCTACTCCTTGGCGCTTTCATACTGCCATCTTTCAGCCACACCCTTGATCTCAGAGTAGGTAAGATCGAACACCCATTCTTCTCGGATAAGGGCCAAAAAATCTCGGAGGTCCCGTGTGCAAGTTGCGAACGTTAAAGATCCCTTGTTGGTTCCAAAATCGATAAGAGTAGGCTTCAGCCGCCACCCGGGCAAAATTCAAAATTAATTCCTTCCAAACTAAAAATGCTTAATGAGTCCCGCGCGCTTATATAACCTTATTGAGTTGCGAGCGCCGTAAAACACAAAACAAAACAAAGAACAAAATAAAGAAAAAAGTCGGAGTCTGGGCTTGGCATTTAAAATACACCTGCTGAAGCCAGGGAAGCAAACAACATCACGATCTACCG